TTTTTTTTTTTTTTTTTTTTTGAGACAAGTTCTCACAGTATAGGCCAGGCTGTGTTTGAATTTGCAGTCCTCCTGCCTCAGCCTCCCGAATGCTGAGAGCACAGGAGTGCACCATCCCACGCAGCTCCAGCTGTGACACAGTTTTAACCCAGCAGGAACAGAACTTTTACCTGACTCGATTCACAGCCTGACACATCGCTCACACAGCTGCCGCAGACCCGGACCACTGGCTTTTCTCAGGATTCACTTGTACATGCTGGGACCTAGGACAGCCACTCTGTGCCTCGGTTTCTCTGGCCACAGCTGACTGGTTCAGAGATGGCTCCAATGGGGTCTGGACCAGTCCAGGCGGCACAGGAGTCCACCCACCTCCAGGCTGCCAGGCAACCGAGGGGTAGGGCGGTGGCCCAGTGGGCAACTCTTCGGAAAGACAAAGCCAGCACTCGGAGGAAGGGGAAGCCAGTGTCGGAGATGACACACACGAATCCCCTTGTCAAAAGTAGGCTTTTGTGTAGAGGAACATTTATTCTGGTGAACAGGGACTAAAATTGGGGGATTGCAGCAGCTGGCTGGGAAAAGCCAAGCATATCACATCCGTGTGCAGACGGGCTGACCTCAGGAGAGAGGTACCAGCAAGTAAGTCCTGGGAGATCAATCAGGGGTGTACTGAAGGGTACTGAAGGGGCAAGGAGTCTGGGGAGAAACGTTTACGACCGAATCCACGGTCCGGCTACAGAGGCGCCAACAGTCACTGGACTTCTCCACTCTGTTTTGCGTCCCTTTGCCCTGTTCCCAGAGAAGCTGCTGTTGTTTGCTGAAAGCAGCCTGTTGGCTTTGTCCTGTTTGTTTGTGAAGGACTCACTTAGGTCAGGCATGACAGCCAGGGGACAGGGAGAAAATCCCGATGGCTTTGCACCACCTGGCTACCTTCCGGGGCCTCCCTGCTCCCGGGTGTGGCCATCAATCTGAAAAGTCAACTTCACCGATCAAGAAACACCTGTCTTGAGCAGCAGGGCCAGTCGCGTGTCCTCAGGGCCCTGAAGCTGCTCCCTTCTCTCCCTGTCCAGCACGGTTTCCCTGCTCGTTGTCCCCAAGCCATGAACTGGGCGGCTTTTGCTGTGCCCCACCCTTCTGAGGGCCAGTGGGGGCTGAACCGTGAGCACAGCAGCCTGGTCCCCCTTCACGGCTGGGCGTGCTCGGAGGATGAGCTGAGGCCTTTCTACCCAAGGGGCTGCACCTCGGGTCCAGACTCAGTGGGAAGAAATCAGACGCACCCGTGGAAACGCCGCTTTGTTTCTCTGGAGGGAGAAACCAAAAGGGTAGATAAGGACCAAAATGTACAATAGATGTAGAGAACTGGCAGAAAATGTTCAAATGAGAAGGGGACCAGGGGCTGGGGATGTGGCTCAGGGGTTCCGCCACCTGCCTCGCAAGCGCAAGGCCCTGAGTTTGATCTCAGGTACCAAAAACAAAAACAAAGACACCAAACAAAAAAAAAAAGAGGCAGAAGGGGAACAAAGGAAGGGGAGGGAGGAAGGAAGGAAGGGACAAGAAAAAAAGGGAATAGAAGGAAACAAGGCTTTTGTACATGAGGGGAAAAGGGGTTGAAGGGAGGGGAGGGGTGGGAAAAAAGAAGCCAGAGGTATCATGTACAGGTCCAAATTCCCTACGAGGAGCATTATCATGTGTATAGACCTAACATGTGCCAATTTTTAAAAATAAGGCTGGTGTGGTGGCCCGGGCCTATGATCCCAGCACTTGGGAGGCCCAGGCAAGGTCACCTCGAATTCAATGGCAGCCTGCGCTACATAGTGAGGTCAAGACCAGCCCGAAGTTTGTGTCGAGACCCTGTCTCAACTCTCCCTTCTAAACTGTATCCTGGGAGAGCCAAGTAATACACGGATACACTTGGCCACAAACGCTGGTAAACCCCCATGTTGCTCAAGCCATTCTGAGTTGGTTTACTGTCACTCGCAACCCACAGACCTCAGAGCGGCCTACACCAACTCCCTCACTTTACAACCGGAGAAACAGAGCCTGGGGCAAGCTGTGGCCTCTGGAAGGCTGAGGTCTGTGATGGCCTCGGCCAGGCTTTAATTCAAGTTTCCCGGTGGGAGACTTCCCAAGCCCTGGGAGGATCTCCAAAGGCCTCCACTGGAGTGAGACACTTCAGCACCTCTTCTTACCTCAAAAGAGAAGAGAGGGGACACAGATACAGGGACTTCGAGGATAACTTGAGACGTGGGGGCTGGAACCCACTCAGGAAGGGACAGGGTCAGCCTCAGCGGAGGTGGAAGCCAATCGGCCCCGCTGGGCCTGCCATGGCCTGGGAGATCAAAGCCAATCTTCAGGCCGGGTGTGGTGGCGCACGCCTATAATCCCAGCACTCGGGAGGCTGAGGCAGGAGGATCACTGAGTTGAAGACCAGCCTGGGCTACATGGTGAGTTCCAGGTCAGTCTCAACTGCATAGCGAGAGCCTGTCTCAAAAAATCAAAAAACAAACAAAGTTGGTCTTCACATCCCGTGAGACTCACACAGGCTTCAGATTAGACAGAGCCAAGAAATATTGTCTAACCCGGACCAAAGCAAGAGAACAGAAGGGCCAGGGACCCGCTCAAGTCTGCTGCTTGAGGGTCTCCAAGTCTCCCGGCCCCCGAGGTCACTAAAGCAGCTCTCTCTGTCGGCGTTTTGCTCCTTTCCATTTCAGTGAGTTCTCACCTTCTGTGTCCTTCCAAGCAATTCTGCCTGATTCGAGACCCAAACGTGCAATTCACAAACCTAGCACAAGTTCTTAAATAGAGAGCGATGGGTCCATCTCCAAAAACACAGACTTGGTCCTTGCCTGAGTCTCCTCTATTTCCCTCACCTGCCTGGGACTTAGGACCTGATCATGACACAGAGTCCTGGAGGTCAGAACTTTCCTAGGAAGCCCAGGATGAACCGAACGGATTCCCCATGCACCTCCCCAGGATCCTCCTGCCTCAGCCTCCCGAGTGCAGCCTCCTGACAACAGACATGCGCCGCCATGCCCAGTGCCCTTGAATGTGAAGTGGCTTCTTCGCGAGCTCAGCCTGAGCCTCCATGTCAGCATTTCATGGTGCCCATGTCCTGTCACTCCAGGTATCCACGCGTGCGC